GGTTTTAATTGACTTATCAATAAAATACCATTATTTTGTGATTCATCTGGATTTAATTTTTATCTAGCTGCTAAACATTACCAACATATTAGCGAAATATATTTAGTAGTTGCTGCGTGCACTGTCACTCCAGTCGATCGTGCCTATACATTCACATCATAACTTTCACGATACTTATGTATCGAAATTCATGAAAAGGATTTTCCATCAACTGGTCAATATTTATATACTTAAGGTTAAGTAATTTTTGAGGGTTGAAAAATAAAACTGTATCAAAGTATTCATAAAATCAAGATTTATAATATACAATATCTTCGTATTTTTCGTAGTGTTTCCCTGTAATGTAATCTGCAAAACCATCTTTCGAGAAGACTCCAGAACTGGTTCCAAGTTCATTTTCATGCACATATCTGGCTAGAGGCTGCAACATAAATAGTATAATTTAACTTACTTGATCCAATTGAACATAGATTTTTCTATAGATTCTATAGGTACTGTACTAAGCTCTGAACGAAAATGTTTGTACATTACAATGATAGTGATAGATAGCGGAGGAAAACAGAAACATATAGGTACAAGAACCCGGTTAGTTATGAACTTAATATAAATGTTAAATAAAATGTTAAGTTTGCACCTCTTCAAAAAATGCTTCCAAAACTAATATAACAAAACACATAATGAATCGTTTACATTATGATTTACCAATAGAGCTTGTAGCGATAGGGCCCCATCACGTAGATTTACTATTAATTTATTGTTCGGTTAAAACATTAATCTTCAAAATAAAGTTAACAAACAAAGATATGTTTCCTTCTAGTATCTATATTTCCCACATTAATTATTTCCAGCCAAGAACTTCTGCGTGGTTCAAGCACAAACTAAAAAGAAAATTTATAATATTATTAAAATTATCGGCAGAGTTCGACACATTCTAATAAATACTCTAAAAATACCCTAAAGTTATATTTCATTTGTTTGTTTCATTTGAATCCGTCGAGCGGCATTTGATAAAAAAATCAATTTTGACAAAAATGCATTTCCCACAATATTATTCCTTATCTCATATTGTACAAAAATTATTCTCTATTGTATTAATTATTTATTACATTACGTAGGTATTGACGATGGTGGAATTTTGTCGATAAAATGAAATTTTTGACGAGTACTTAATGTTTTTTGTATTTTGTCATTATGTCAAATTAATGCACTTTATCATTCAGAATTTAGTATAGTTCTTTGTTCTACTTTTGACGCATTTATTATGTACGATAAAATTATCGATACGGGAACAATCATGTACATCACTATTTTTTAATGAAAATTGTTTTAGACGTATTTCAACTAAAATTAATGAAAATAAGCACTGCATTAGTTAGAAAAGTATTGTATTTAGTCAATTTGCAGCAACCACACTTGAATAGTTTGAAAAACAGAGATATTTTAATGAAAAATAACAGTACTTACCGATGTAATGTTACACCTGCCGGTTTAGTAATATTTTTAGTGCTACATCCAATAACACTGCACCCGGGCATAGTTCTTCTCACTAACCAATAATTTCTTTGTTTACCACGCACAAAAACAACAGGAATTCTACAAATTTTCGTAACAAAATATTGTTGACCAATGCTTTGACAGCTGATGTACCACTGACATGCACTGATAACAGGGACTAAGATGGCCAATTCGGCACAACTAGGTTTTTCTGATGACGTCAAAAAATTATGGCCAGAATGACAATAATGTGTTGTCTCTTTCTGCAAAAGCAAAGAGACATAAGTAAAAAAGAAACAACAGTATGTTTATGAATTTACCGTCAAGATGGATCCTAAATTCTACCCGTAGACAATAGCCAGACATCTATGTTATATTTATAAATCTATGATAGAAATTGATAACTGCAGTTACGTACTTCATACTGTCAAACACCAAGCGGTCACCGGTGACCGCAACCTATTGTTCTATAATTGTGTCTATAATGACGGTACTCGACGAGTTAAAACTCAATTTTTAAGTACAATGACTTCAGACTAACTTAATACCTAGATTCATTTAATTATTGCGCATCATTATACTTTTTGCAACTGCACATACTTACCTAAACTGATATCGTGGTACACTCTCAAGAATCAATAGATAATTATGCATTAGCAATTTTAATTAATATTATCACGTACCTAATGTAGGTACTACAGTAATATTAAGTAACTACATGGCAAGTTAAAATTGCTCCAGTGTCCAGTAGGTACCTTATTTGGTATTCCTATCAGTAGTTGGATAGTACAATCTCAGTTGGCGCTGTAATGAAACGTTTCTAATTAGGTAGTGTCGTAGTGAGCATAATTAGGACACGACTCGTCGATCTTCTAGTAGCTACAACAATTCAAATTGTACCCTGGCCCTTTAATCATCATTGATCAACAGCCCCAAACAGTTCTCGCCTGGGCTTCATACCCTTCTCTGCATTATATTTATTTTTTATAAAAAGGACGCTGGAGATACACTACGATTTTCTCCTCTGTCGTGGATAAATTTACAAACATACAATTTGACATACCTACACATAAAACCCAGACCCGTGCGAGAATCGAAACCGCCACACGTTGCGCGGCAGTCGATTGCCCAACTATCACGCCAATATATGAGGGTTTGGTTTGCCATAATCTTGGCAACCGGGTCGGAGATCACAATTTAAAAGGTTCAGCTTTATCGGAGAGCATTGCATCGTGGTTTCTGTGCCTTAGACAGCCCTAACGCCTCTTGCAGGAAGAACTGGAGTAAATAATGACAAAAATATTTACTCATCACCTCTTTTTTTAAATGGGGAAAATCGTCCAATGACCACCTTGGATGTGGCGGGAGAGAGTGTCAAACTCTTTCTGACTGAAAACCACCTCGTTTCTACGACTACGACTACGAAAGTCTAATAAATGCAATCTTTTCAAAATTTATTCCTCATTTAATTGGCAACATTCACCCCAACGCTCAAATTAAATGAGATTCCGTACTGACTCAGTGTGGACTTCACTCCCCTTCCGTGACTAATCGTGGCCGGTCGAGGTATCAGAATCACGGTATACAACCATATATCATATTTTACCCCTAGTCCCCATATCTACGGGTATGGTGTTTAAATATAAACATATATCATCTTCTACTCCACTCCCTAGCAATCTGATCAAATTATGGATTGATTTTGAGATTTGCCGGGATGAAATTGTGTAGCGAGAGTACCAAAAAGAAATAACTGATCTAAACTGGAGAAAAAGAAATTTCGGTAAGTACCCAGGCAAATATTTCGTGACTACCTCGTACCTAAAGAGGATCCTACAGGTTGAACTTTCGAACAAATATTAGAATTTTTCATATTCATTCAGTAACACGGAGCGTCCCGGAGCAAACTGTGGAATAACGCCTAGTTATTATTGCCAGGCGAGATTATAACCTCGCCTGGCAATGAGCTCATGAAATAAAATAATTGACATAAATGTAATATAAAATCACACCTTTGAATCTCCAAAAAAGTAGGAAGAGGAAAACATATTTAATTCATTTGACAAACTGATGAAATAGATTAGATTCCAACTGTAACTAGACATTTGTGTTTAGATTATGCTATTCATATTCTCGATACTATACTAGATAATAATACCTATTTATAAAAGAAACCGCATAACGACAACATTTAGCAACTTATGTTACCTATAGTTCAAGTCACAAGGGCACTTCCGATATATCAAAAAAGCCATTAATTGCGTCCCCTGTTTCCGCGGCATTTGGCTAATGTCAGGGCCAGACCCCTGTACTTGGAAGCTTGGGGTGCTAGGTAAACACTCAGGGGGACTCTCACTGTTCATGTAATGTCGGCAAACTGAAGTAAATTAAGTGTACACATGTACTGACCATGTTCTCGATAGCTACATCTAAGATAGTGCCAGTTAGGGGTACATAAAATTAAGACTATGAGTCGATATTGCATTAGTTACAATTAGATCAAGAGATATGTACGAGTAGGTGTGTGTTATTTTCATTATTTTAATTAACACTTTTATACTATAAATTTTCGTAAAATCTTTTTTTTATTTCTGTTAACTTTTACAAATTTGAATGCAAATGTTTTTTTATTATTTATTTATATTCACAACAGTGTACAGATATTGAATTTTAAACTGAAACTGACTGTAAAAACCAGCGCTGTATAAGTGTATCAATTCCATCATTCCAGTATCACGTATATCGAGAAATAGGCTATTAAAGCTAACAGTCAATTAAAATATTATATATTAATATTTGTACGCCAAGTAAGGCGAAACATAGTGTAACTAAACCTGTTATTAACTTATGAACATCCATATAATACCACCTATGTTACAAATAAATAAATGATTATGATTATGATTATGATTATGATAGATTTCTGATACTGTTTGATTAGAACTCGAAGTGAAAACTAAGATAAAAATAAAACTCCTCTTACTGTCGGGTAAAAAGGTAAAAATGATGAGACGTTATCAGTGTCATCAAGATGACTGCATCTGTTCCCACTGGGTAGCGATAGCAAGACAATCTTTCTAAGTACGACGAGAATGCAGGCCACATAGGTCCAAAGACAAAAATGAACCTTTACTACCATAGCGTCAGCCACAAATACCAGAGATATTTTAATAAAACTACATAATGTATCAACAAAACTTATTTATTCACAAAAAGAACAGATAAAAACATTTTCGCTTAAACAATGATAAATAAATCTTCACCAATATTTTTTTGCATTATTATTAGTAGAAGACTGTAGAAAAATAATTTATCAAAATATACAATTGATTCGTCTACTTTACAATTAAGATAATCTCTGTCAACCTAAAGAATTACTAGGAAAGACATAATTTTCTGACAGTTTTTTATAAAACAAGGTTATCACAGCCTGCGTCTAATGTCGGAATACTGAAACGCTACTCAATTTTAAGTCGTGCTTAAGTATAGTTCTGTCACCACTAATTCTTTGTAAAATGACAGAGATGGCACGATATTTGAACACTACTTAAAATTGAGTAACGTTTCAGTATTCCGGCATAAATCTACTAGAGTCGATAACAGAATTATATTGTGAAATAGTTTTCTATAAGCCTAGCAGAAGAAAACCTCCAAAAAATAAATATTTTTTACAAACTTTGGCTTGCCTTTGATACGATGTTCTTAAAGGTAAAGTTCTAAACAAAAACAGAACTACTAGTATTGCATTCCCAATTGTATAAAACCATTAAGTATTTTAGACATACATACATCTTTAATTTCCAAAAGAAATCGAGTTATATGGATACATCCATCATCTCTTAATAGGATTATTAAGAGATGATTCAGATTTCCAAAAAAAAATTATGATAAACACAGAATTTCGCCATCAAAGCATATTCAGTTCAGTTTACATTAGGTTTAGTGATCATTTCAGAAAAACTGATAAAAATATCATATTATTATAACAAATTGATTAGGAACAATCACCAAATTGAGACTTTTCTGTCATGAAAGTCCGAATTGGCATGTTTATTGCCATTTTTGTCTTATTATTATCAGCCTAATTATGTAGTACATAATTATATAGTATGCTTGAGGTAAGCAATTAAAGAAAAAAATAGAATCGTAAAAACAGTTTCGAACTGTAAAAATTTGTGTTCGACAGAGTCGTGTATGAATAAAGTATTGATAGTGATATAATGTGCACTTACTATGTAAGATTTTTAAGGAATTCCATCAAATATCACTTCACTGGCTATCTACATTATACGGGGTTAGTTTAAACGTGATTAGTAGTTTATTAAACAAGTTTACAAGTATTTAGTAATGTATTCCGCAAACTCTGTTGGCGGGCACAGCTTTGTCTGAAACAAAAATATTGTATTTTAGTTTTTCTCTTCTTTAACCGCTTCATTGTCAGTATATATGAAACACAATAGAAGACACATTGTGTCTCGCATAGATATGCGTTCCGATACACCAAGGGTTAATAAGTTTTTTTTTTTATATTTTACAATATTTTTCTGTTTTTTTTTCTATTTTTACGCGGTTTCGCTTGTGTGTTCTTATTGTAAGTAAGCTGTTTCACATTTCAATCTTTGTAAATCCGTTTGACAGGTTTTTTTTTATGGCATAAGCCTATAAACGAGCAGACGGATCACCTGATGGAAAGCAATCGGCGTCGCCCATGGACACCTGGAACACCAGAGGCGTTACAAGTGCGTTACCGGCCTTTTGGGGATTAGGAGTTTGAGGATCGTTGGGGATTCAGGAATAGGGGAGATTGGGGAAGGCGAGGGTAATTGGGCCTCCGGTAACCTCACTCACACGACGAAACACAACGCAAGTTGGTTCACGTCTGTTTTCTCTGAGGCTGTGATATTACTCAGGTCGAGCCGGCCCATTCGTACCGAAGCATGGCTCTCGCACATTTATTCATTCAATCACACAATTATTGATTCAAACAGAGTTAAGATAAGTCGTTGTTGTCAGAATATTTGATAACACTGAGACAAACGTTTGAGTTTTCAAATCTGCATACATATACCAAGTTTGACTAGAACGTATGATTTTTATGATTAACATGACTACTACAATGACTTGCAATTTTGTCTACAATGAAAAAAACAGCGTGACGTCATAACGAGCAAACGAGCAAAAACAGTGACGAAAAAAAACAGATCAAATAACTTGTAGGTATGTTTCTTGCTAGTTATCATTGCATGATTATTGCAAAATCTTACTTTGACCCATGCCAATGTAACCTAAAATAAAACGCGTAACTGCATCACTACATAGTATAAAACAAAGTCGCTATCCGCCGTCTGTCTGTCCCTATGTATGCTCAGATCTTTAATACTACGCAACGGATTTTGATGCGGTCTTTTTATACATAGAATGATTCTTAAGGAAGGTATAAAGGTATAAGGTATAAGGCCGGGGCGCTAGTCAATAATAAACTAATTTTGGTGTACGGTTTACGGGCGAAGTAACTTGTATGTTGCTCATGTCCATGAGCCCCCAGCGTGGTTTGTAACCAGTCAAGTCACCTCGTCAAACAGTTGAATGTTTCACGACAGTTATTAGAGAAAGGACAAAGATATTTCATGGTGTGATATAATCTTATACTATTGTTTAAAGCGGAAGAGTTTGTTTTTTTGTTTGTTTGTTTGAACGCGCTAATCTCCGTAACTACAAGTCTTATTTGAATAATTATTTTTGTGTTGGTACATCACGCTACGACCAATATGAGCTGAGCAGAGCGTGTGAAACCGCGCGGAAGTAGCTAGTTAATATTAAAGTTTCAAAATCAACTCACCGATCATTTTCGGGTAGGGCAAGTTTAGGTTGTCCATGATATGGATGAACTCCTTCAAAGGTTTGGTCAGCCTGGGGTTGTATTTCTTTTCCTCCCACACCGTGGTGGCAGTTTGCCCTCGGTAGTCGTGTGCCGGGTACAGGAGGTAGTGGTCGGGTAGCGTGAAGATACGGTTGTGTACCGAGTTGTACAGAGTTTGAGCTGAACCTTCTTGGAAGTCTGTTCTGCCACAGCCCCGGATAAGAAGAGTGTCGCCTGTGAACGCCATGCCCTGAAACCGAAAAATTTAAGTGGTTACTGACCAGATAGATGACCCATGACCATCTACACGCTTAGTTCTGAAATGTCTATGATGAATAATAAAAGTTATATTAAACTAATTTACTGTACAGCGAAAATTCTGATTAGTAAAACCATCTTAGAACGTTAAAAGTAAAAAATATAATTGAAGTTTACACTCATTATACTGAATCATTTTAATAAAAGGTGTAACATACACCCAGGAACATAATCCATTGTAATCCGCGTATTAAAATCGTCATCATCATACCACAAGACAATCGGCGAAGCGTCACCGATTCGTGGTAGATATCTCACCCACACGCTCGAAGCGCTTCGCATCAAGCTTCCTTGTGCGTACTGCTAAGGAGTGGAAGTTTTTGCCAGAGTCTGTATTTCCTGAAGGGTATAACCTGGGTGTCTTCAAGGCCCGAGTGAATAGGTTGCTTATGGGACGACGTGCTATATCGTAGGCCACATCATCGCTTACCACCAGGTGAGATAGTGGTCAAATGGCCCATCAAATATAAAAAAAAATCTACCTCTAGTACCAAAATCGACAAAAAGACACGCTAATGAAAAATTACCACTAGCATTGTACACCAAACATTGGAAAACCCACCTTCTCATGGCAGATATAAGTCAAGCACCCATTGGTATGTCCGGGAGTGGCTGAAGCCAACAACTTGTGTTCTCCGAAGGTGACCACGTCACCGTCCACGAGGTGCACGTCGGCTGCGGCGCCTGACGCCTTGCCGATCACGCTCTTCGTGTCAGGAAGTATGGACTTCAACTTGCCCGTGCCTGTTATATGGTCTGCGTGCATGTGGGTGTTCACTGGAAATAAGAACAGATAGAAGGTTTCATTTTGGTTGTGTTGATTAGTATTATTAATATAGTGATCTAGACTGTGGATTTTTTTATAGGTAAACGAGCATTTGGATCACCTGATGGTAAACAATCGGCGTCGCCCATGGACACCCGGAACACCAGAGGCGTTACAAGTGCGTTACCGGCCTGTTGGGTATTAGGAATTTGAGGAATACCATAATATCGTATTTCATAACAAAATGGAGGAAACTAGGAATACTAAGAATACCAAACAAGTCAATATGACACATTCAACTAGTAACTAGATATAGTAGATATTTCCTCAGTTTTATCGAAGGTCGAGATTACTATATGAGTCGGCACGAGTAGTAAATTGTATATGTACAGTGCGCAGCAGGTCAACCTACTCTTTACTGTCTCTATTAGACTTTCAACTCTATCCTTTAGATATACAGTCGAAAACCCAATGACAAAAATCGACACATTGGAGAAGGTTGGTGTGCCTCTACAATCGACGAATATTGAGGAAGGGAAAATACAAGAGGAGAAAGATTTCATTTGGTTATAGACATTTGTTAACTATCCTTAAATGAATCACCATTTAATTAGCAAATTGAAAACAAGAGAACATACTAGGAAATAAATATAATTGTGCACTATGGAACTCAGTTTAAAAATGAATATGCATTTTGTAACTTTCAGATTCAGAGTATCCTCAAATTCCTAATTCCCAAAAGGCCGGTAACGCACTTGTATCGCCTCTGATGTTCCGGTTGTTCATGGGCGACGCCGATTGCTTACCAAGAAATGATCTGTCTGCTCGTTTACCGGCTTATCCCATAAAAAATACCCCGAATGGGTAAGCAGAGGTGCACATTACGGCACTTAATGCCACTGTACAATGTAACACCCACTTTTCACTATATATGTTATGAGTTCCATGTAATAGGGGATGAGCCTATTGCCATATACCGGGCACATTTCCAGACTCAAAGAAATACGAAGGTACTAACATGTATTTTCCCTGTGTGTGTGGACAAATAACTTGACAGACTGTATCAACATGTTAATGCTGTTCGACTGAGATGCAAAGCTATTGTGACCATTGATTTCTGTTTTGTTCAGATACAGATTAATAACAACATGACAATAAATATACTCACGTGCATAAACCAGCTTGAAGCCCAGCTCCTTGATGAGAGCAGCGTCTCTCTCCGCATGTTCCAGTACAGGGTCGATGAGCACCGCGTCTCCCGTTTTGGTATCACCCAGCAAGTACGTGTATGTACTGCTCACAGTGTCGAACAACTGAAAATTAGGATAAATAAATTGCATTAACAACTTTTAGAGTCATCATTAATGAATAGTTTTTTCACTATAGCTATGTAGTAACAGCACTACATCCCAGCAGCATAAACTATCTAGTTTTCAATTAGAACCCTGTTTCTCATTTTCTGCAGCTATAGATAGTGTGAATAACAAACATATAGATTTTTAAGGGGCACAAATCATGCAATGAGTCCGCCCTATCTAAGGTGAGGCGAGAGGGATTGTCAGATTCTTATCGACTAAAAACCACCCCGTTCCTACTCCTGCTATTCGAGCCGGAGCGGAGCCCCGGTAGCCCGTTACGTCTTCCACGGCTCCGTATCGGTCCTAAACATATTGATACGGTTGCATTTTATTGTTGTCAGCAAGGCTAGACTTTCAGTACTTTTCTGTCAATTAGCATTTTTATCAAGATCATTATTAAAATACTTATTTTAAAGACTTATGTAGCCATTTTGCTGTCCTTTACGACATTAAAGCCGTACGTAATCTAGCATTACTATAGAACAATTTTTTTTTTCAATTAAACCATAGTTTGGTACTTTTGAAACGTCAACAAATACAAAATAAATAATAGTCTGTCAGTCAGTCCGTCAGTGAAATTAGGTGAAGCTAGGTGCTTATTCCAAAACGTAGATTCGAATGGAGAAGAACGAGCAAGAAACTCCATTCGTTACATAACATAACA